GGCGGGGTGTGGGGAGGGGTAGGGGGTGCGCTCTGCCATGAGGAAGTTCGGCTTAAAGACACGTCCCAGGGGCGTTTCTGGTCCCCACCTGTCGTTTTGCTCCTCAGCATGGCTTTCTAAAAACGCTGCAGGATTTCTTAAACATGCATGAATGAGTCAAAGCAAGACTTTGGGCATGTTTTTATTAGAGTATAACATTATAACATGATATAAAACTCAAAAAAGTTGATTTTACGTGATATTGCCCCTTTAAAGATTTAATCTGAATAATACAATAATCGTAGGTTTTAATGAGATTTCAGACACTTTAAAGTGGGTTTTGTGGTAAAATTGTGAACAATGGCAGGACCAAAGTAGACTCCTGCTGTGTTAAAACTCTGTGGTTATTTTTAAACAACTCACCAGCTCTAATCTTCAAAACCTTATTATGTTTGAGAAAAAAACTCTTCTTTTACTTTTTACATTGTGATCAGTTTTGTAATGAAGTTTGATTTTGGTAGAAACAATGAAATTTCTGCCAGAAGTGACCACAGACTGCACTCTGCTATTTGTGCACAAATAACCAATAAAGTGTATTGATACACTGATGATAGTCTAAAATGGTGTTTGCATGAACTGCTTTGAAACTGGGATTCATTCTGATCTTAGAAGTTCGCTTGTTAATCCAGTCAGATCAAACGGTGACACTTCACTGAACTGTGACTATAGGAGGCTCAAAAAAATGAAATAATAGGCACATTTTTAGATGTAGTCTCACTGAATCCAAACAAGAGGACAGGGTCTCTAAGCTGTTAGTAGACCCTGGGGTAAGAGGTCTTGTAGGCCCTCCTCCAAACTTACAACCCCAGATGGCACAAGTCTGACAGTCTGGCAAATAAAAAAAAATGCCAGTTTTATTTAATTTTGTGTTGTACAAAGGACTATCTGTGCTGTATTTGAAATATATCACCCTTTGGAATGTAAAAAACATCATTTCAGTGTAAAACTTTAGGAGTTTTATCTGTGACCTCAGTTTGAATAGTGAACATTCACATTATGGAGGTTGTTGTGTTTGATCATTCAAATTTCTGGACATTATTGTCACACTTGACAGACAATAATGCAGGCAAACTATCAAAATAACTAATCAATTGAAAAGGAGCTGGCCCCAGCTGAAATCTGATTGCCCCCCTGAAATAACCCTGTCTTGTCACTTATCAGTCCTTTGCCAGAGATGTGATGGTGGATGCAGTTCCATGTTCTAACACTAGTTGCGCTAATGAGTCAAATAGTAAAGTCCAGCATGAATCAAGCTCACAGAATTCTTCTCTTAAGAAGATTTAAACAATCCTGCAGAAAGTCTTTAAACTGACAAACAATGGATGGATTTTCTCACATTTGAGAATATTTTATCTACAGTAAAACTACAGTAAAAATGTATGAAAATTGGAGAATTTACTGTGCAAGCTTTTTAAAATTATGTTACGAGTCTTCAAACACGTTCAAGTTCAGTTTATTTATATAGCGCCAAGTCACAACATACATTGTCTAAGGGCACTGTACATAAAAAGAACAATCTAAAGAAGAAACCAGCAGATTGTGTTGAATCACTTCATCACAGTCTCCCATCCTGAGCAAACAGTGGAGAGGAAAAACTCCCTGCTAATCAGGAAGAAACCTCCAGCAGAACCAGGCTCAGGACAGGAGACCATCTGCCTCGACCGGCTGGTTGAAGGACAGGAAAGAGACACAGGTAAACACAGAAGAACTGGTCCAGGACTGTGGGACGTGTGACTGGTTAAATGTTTACAACTTTTTAAAACTGGGGTTTGTGTGCTGAACAAATATGTGACCCCTCTATGAGTATCGTGGCCCCTCGGTGGCCCCTTCCTCAGAAACCCCCCCATGTCCACCACTGCATCGTTTACTGAACGATTTACATTTATCACATGTGAAGGTCTGGTTCCAAATATAAGTGAGTTTAGCACATCCAAGTCCCACAAACCTTGCTTATATCACTCTATTTATGATCAACTACATATAGTTGAAACTGACACTCTGCAGGGACAACATGGGTTTTTGGGAAATAAAATGTTAAACAAAAACTTTGGCGATACACACACATATGCCTATTAGTGTTAATATTTTTCTATTTCCAAGAAATAAAGAGGCCAGTTGAGGTGGTTCTTCTGTTTAGGATGCCTCCTGGACACCTCCCTGGTGAGGTGTTCTGGGCACGTCCCACTGGGAGGAGACACAGAGGAAGGCCCAGGACACACTGGAGGGACTACATATCCTTGGGATTCCCCCAGAGGAGCTAGTCCAAGTGGACTATATATATATATATATATATATATATATATACATTAAAAACAAAATGAGAGACCAAAACAGGTTGTGTGCTCCCACACCGGTCCTGTTTGCACCCACAATGCACCTGAAGGTTGATTAGAAGACTCATCAGACTTGTCTTCTTCCCTTGTCTGCTCCTCTCCAGCTAACAGCATGAACCTGACGGCCGCTCCTCTCCCTCAGGTGATGAGTCAGCGAGCATCCTTCTGTGAGGTCATCTTCACCAGCAGCTGATTTACAACACTCTGTCAGCTTTAGTATTGTCTACAGTAAATATTTTTCACCAATATTTGTTCTGAAAAGTACTTTCTCTTCTATTAGCACATCTGTCAAAGTCACTTCTCCATGTCCCAAATCTATCAATACAGTCTGACAGGTGAGCTCATGGACAACGAGTGTCACTGTTAATTAGATCAATTAACGACCACAATCTAAAATAAGTGAGAGGAAACCTGACAAGTATAACAAAGTAATATTTTTCAGCAGATCCATAAACGCTGCAGGCCCGTGGGCTCCAGCCCAGGTAAGCCTGTGCATTAAAGCACCGTGCACCTCTGTGACTCAAGCAGGAAAACTGAAACATTCACTGAACATTTCACAATATTTTAAAGTTTCAGCTGTTCAATGAGATAAACTATTCAAATGTATTCAGAAAACTATCAAGATATTATTGTTCAGATACTCAAAACCTGTAGATTTTGAAACCCGTGGCACTAATAACACATCTAATTAGAAATGTGTTTTTACACAGGATAGGCTACAAACACCACAGAAACAAAACACTTCAGCTGTAAGAATTATTGCTAGAAAACACTACAGTCACCCAAATATATTATTTTATCAGTTGAATTTATTGAAGTTCTATGAGTTGGTTGATTACAATATTTTACAGGTTATAAGGCTCATAAATGTATATTGCCTTTAAACATCCAATTGAATTTTGTTAAGAGAGAAAGTTGTTATAATCTGAAAGGGGTAGAGATGTTTGTGAAACCTGGATTTCGAACTAGCTTGAGGGAGCGATGTACTTCGATACAAGGAATAAGACTGTGGAACAATCTGGAGAGTGATTCAAAAATGCCAGAACACTATTTATGTTTAAGAGAATGATAAAGGTCATCTTGTTAAAGAAATAGGAAACAATGTAATGTGTGTTCATACGAAATGATATTTAATAAGGATTTGAGGTTATTTTTTTTTGTTTGGTTTTTGTTTGTAGATCATTATTGTTTAAATTTATTTTTTGAGAAAAAAAGAGCAGATATAAGATTTTTTCTTCTTTGTGTTGCTTTTCATTTTAGTTGTGATTTGTGTTTTTATTGTACATAAATTTTGTTTTTTAAAGAAATAATATGAATAAATGAATAAACTTTGAAAAATGCATGTTAAAAAAGTCATGAGTTTGTTGTCGCCTGCATAACTGCAAATGTTTGCATATTTATTTTGTGTAGTTTTGTTTTTATGTTTTCAACTCTGGATTATTCTGTTTAGTACTGACTGTAAGATAATTAAACTGCAAAATGTAAATGGAGAAAATAAAAAAATTGTGTAGGTCTTCTGGACGGGTTCTTCTCTAATGAAACGTTTCAT